TCACTCACCATCCTGCAAGTTCCTTAGTGTTCCAGATTCCCTCTTGTTCCCCCAGGAGTTTCCCACCCTAGGGGAGCCCCTGCGGATCTGTCTCATCTCCACCACCCCTTCCCCCATCTCCCCTGCCTTAACAATAGCCATTCACGGATGCACTGAGCATGTGCTAGGCCTAGGGTACTGAGTATGATAACTTGGTCATCAAAGACTGGCCACTTGATAAATATTAGTTGATTGAATTGAACTGATGGGAAAGGCTCAAGTTGATTAAATTATTTTTATTTAAAAAAAATTTTTTTGGGGCGCCTGGGTGGCGCATTCGGTTAAGCATCCGACTTCAGCCAGGTCACGATCTCGCGGTCCGTGAGTTCGAGCCCCGCGTCAGGCTCTGGGCTGATGGCTCGGAGCCTGGAGCCTGTTTCCGATTCTGTGTCTCCCTCTCTCTCTGCCCCTCCCCTGTTCATGCTCTGTCTCTCTCTGTCCCAAAAATAAATAAACGTTGAAAAAAAATTTTTTTTAATTTTTTAAAAGAAATTTATTGTCAAATTGGTTTCCATACAACACTCAGTGCTCATCCCAACAGGTGCCCTCCTCAATGCCAATCACCCAATTTCCCCTCTCTCCCACCCCCCAACAACCCTCAGTTTATTCTCAGTTATTAAGAGTCTCTTATGGTTTGGCTCCCTCCCTAACTTTTTTTTTTCCTTCCCCTCCCCCATGGTCTTCTGTTCAGTTTCTCAGAATCCACATAAGAGTGGATTTGGTATCTGTTCAAACATATGGTATCTGTTCAAGTTGTTTAAATTATTATACCTTATGCTGTTTCCAGTCAGGGTCAGACTGAACCAAAAGCAGGAAGAGACCAGTTATGCCTGGGATGTAGGCCCTGTACTCTCAAAGTTCCCATTTGTGCTGCCACATCCAAATCTACCAGCTAGCTGGTCCTAATCCACCAGCTAACTGCTGTGATGTCAAGAGAAGAATGACATCAGGTGACACCAAGGACTGTGGTCATTTCTAGAGGCATGAAGTTCTGGCTCGGGAGGAAGCAAGTCACTCCTCCCCATCCCCTGCCATACACACTGGCCTGGTTATGCTTTCTCCATGCCTGAGACAAAATGTGGTTAGTAATCTTAGTCCTCTGCCTCCCTTTTAACTTGATTAGAAGGCCATCTCTGTGGTTCTGGTCTGGCTTTTCCTCCCTGAATATAATCAAGAGAAAAGATCCTTACTGGTCTCCACTGTAGGAAGGCAAACCCCAGAGGCCTGAGCTAGACTGAGACTGGCTAGGCTGAGCTCCCACTGTGAGCCTGGCCCTTGGAGGTACAGAAGCACTGACCATCTAGTACCTCTCTGCCTTTTTGGGCATCTGAAACTCACAGGACAGAACTGAGCAGGACAGAACATGAAGGCTGTGATTGTGCTTTGTCATTATGTTGAGAATCCAAATCCCAGCCAATACCTATTATCCCACTATGTCTTGATGGGAGCCTTAGAAATTGGAACTCAAGGCAAAGCTTACATGCTAACACTTTATTGAATGGCAAGGCAGAGAAAGTGAAGGACAAAGGGCAGTGAACGGGGGACGGAGGGCAAGCAAACTCAAGACGGTGTGTTGCAGAACTGTCCACAGCCTCACAGAGAACATTGACAGTTGCTCAGTCATGCACGACAATTGGGAGAGGCTGCAGAGAATCACAATGCTTCAGAACCATCTGTCTGGGACAGAAAGGACACAACTTTATCCGTCAGCTCCTGTCTCTTACTGGTCCAAGTTCACCCCAAGAGGTATGAACTCTCCTCTATTTCCTGGTTTGTTAGCAGCTTCTGGGGAAGCCAGAGCACCCCCCCCCCAGGTCTGATAGAATCAGGTTGATTTTCTAGAATTCTTGTGGTCATATAATATGGGACAAAGAACGACATAGTCTTGCTTCCCTTTGCTTTCACCATATTTTTTTTTTCAACATTTATTTATTTTTGGGACAGAGAGAGACAGAGCATGAACGGGGGAGGGGCAGAGAGAGAGGGAGACACAGAATCAGAAACAGGCTCCAGGCTCTGAGCCATCAGCCCAGAGCCTGACGCGGGGCTCGAACTCACGGACCGCGAGATCGTGACCTGGCTGAAGTCGGATGCTTAACCGAATGCGCCACCCAGGCGCCCCTCACCATATTTTTTTAACTGAGCATAATATGGGGTGTGCTTGTGATGATATAAGAGTCTCCTCCAATAGATCCTTGGTCTAAAGTGTCTGGAGTATTTCTCAAGTACTTGAAAGTACTTAAATTTTAAGTAACAGGAGAAAAATATTAAAGAATCTATTATTTTATAGTACATTTAGGTATTTTTAAATAATACGTATTAAAGAAAAAATTTTTTTAAGTACAAAGATGGGGCACCTGGGTGGCTCAGTCGGTTAAGCATCTGACTTCAGCTCAGGTCACGATCTCATGGGTCGTGAGCCCCACATCAGGCTTTGTGTTGACAGCTTGGAGCCTGGAGCTGCTTCAGATTCTGGGTCTCCCTCTCTCTCTGCCCCTCCCCCACTCATGCTCTGTCTCCATCTCAAAAATAAATAAATGTTAAAAAAAATTTTTTTAAGTATAAAGATAACCACAAAGTGCCAGAGAGCTGGACACAAGCTCTTAACTCCCCTTTATTCTTTCCGTTGCTGCAGGAATAAGTGTCATGCAGGTGTAAACTGACACCACCTCCCTCAGCTGCACCACATCCCTCTTGCTCTCTTCCCAGTGTGTTCCTAATGCTGTGGCATGGGACTCATGGGTAGTCTGAAACTGCAAGGAGGTTAACAAGCCCTGGGACAACCCTTAATCCATGGGGAAGGGAGCTGGTGGATAACTGATCCTGCTCCCAGCTTTTGAGTGGAGATTCAGTGGATCCCAGTGGCTCAAGCCCCAGCCTCCCACAGTATAATCTGGGAGACTATGTATAAGTGGCTCTTGAGGGTGTTGGACCAAGAGGAGAAAGACAACGTTGGACAGGGGGCAGTTTATGGATTTGGGAGCACTCTTCCATAACTCAGATTTAACATCCTGGCAAGGTCACCTAGTGCTGATTCTATACATTGCTGGGATGGCTCCTTGAAGCTTGGACATGACAATTAGCCTACAATAAGTGTGGTGAAGATGCTGGAACTGCTTGGCCAGTACTGAGAAAGGACTCAGAGGCTCTGATACGTGGGAATTTGAGAACAGAGTATTACATGAGGCCAGAGAACTACCACCTAGCATCCCAAGCCAAAGTGTGAGTCACTAACGGGGCTTGACTGAGAGTTCTGCGTCAATAGCTAATAGCTATAGTGTCCTGTGGTCAATAGAGATAAACATCCAAGTACAGTGTTATTTGTCCTGTATAATTCAGCAGGGAGGGTGGGGTGGGGTGGAGGAAGGAAGAGGGAAGAACTGTTGAGCAATCACCACAGCGAAAAATCACAATCACTTATTAGTTTCTAGACCCAAAGCCCATTGATTGAAGGGATGACCCATTGTGGAAAGACATGCCATAGCATGCAAACATACATAAGTATTTCCTAAATTCTTCCCCAGTAGGAACTGCAACCATTTACAAAAAGAAAAAAAAAAGGCACTGACAAAAAGGGAATACCCACAACTTTTGAGAGCTATTGAATTCAAGGGGCGAGCTGACACTGAACCAGGGAATCCAAAATACCATCATGGTACTCTGTTAGAGGGGGAGAACATCTGCTGTAGAGAAGCATTATGGAGGCCAGGTGATATATTGGTGACCACCACCTCACTGTGTCGCCCTTCAGGACAGTGGTGAGGGATGTTCTCCCAGCGGACAGTTCTTCAAACAATACTCTTGGATGTCAATTTGATATAGACAGAGAAGTGTCATGAGGTAAGATTCTTGGATGATGAATGGCCTGCCTAGTTGGTCAGGGACCTGGAGGTCCCTGTTCATTGTTCTTTGTTCAGCCCTTCCAGAGCAAACTGTCTCAACAACTCTCCTTTTCTCCCTTCACTGAAGACATTTTAATCAATGATCTCAAGACTAAAATATCTAATCTTCCAAGCCACGAAAGACTGGCCAATTTGTGAAAAAATGTAGAATTTCTAGTTGGTAATGACAAAACAAACTGAGACAGACTATTCAAAACGCAGACAATAAAAGGACTAATTTCTTCAATGTATGGAAGTGAGGCAAGTGGAAAGCATTAACAGCAATGTAGTAATGTACTATGAACTGAAGTACCACATTGTGGTTTAAGGGGCCATTCTACATGTCACAAAGTGGCAAATCTAAGTACAACCCAAATTTTTATATACAAACTTGAAAAATTATAACAAGTTATGAAGTATTGAAAGACATGGTTGATAGTGGGAAAAATGCACAAGATTCTCAAGCATTCTGTAAGGAGGAAGACAATAGAAACACGTGGCCCCCATGGAAAATCTCTTACTTGAAATGGATGACAAACTGGCATTCAATTTGAACAAAATGTCTCCTAAAATAATCCAATCCCATATAGTAAGTTCATATTTCCCAAACAAATTTCTGATTAGAATTAGGTTCTCAGGGGTAAAACGCTCTGACTTGGCTGACATGACATCATCAACCCTTTAGTTGGTAAATTTACGGGAGCAAAATATCCTGCCACAAATCCATTTCAGTAAATTTAAAAGCCGGGGCATTTGCCAATGGTCTGAACATCATGAGTAAGAGGACAGTGAGGACCTGGGCCTGCTGAGCTAAAGACTTCAGACTGGTAGTAATCCTACTAAGGTAAGATGTTTCAGGAATCCCAGTGCCAAGCAGAGCAGGTGGTCCCACGTGCTCATGACTTCTCCCTTGGAGATATTTTAGTTCATTCTGTTGCTGTTATGAAAGAAGGCAGGAAGTCCAGGCTCTCTTTCCAGCCACATGCCTTTCCCATCAGATGGAAGTACAGCTTCTTCACATAGGGGAATGGCCAGTGAGGCTTTGCAGAGGTAAGAAAGGTGACAGGAGTAAGCACTGACGATAGTGAAAAGGGACAGGAAGAGGATAACCACTCTGAACCTCTTCTTTGTATTTGTTTTATGGGCCACATTCATATAAACCAAAATACATTTTTAGGTGATTCTGAAAGATGAAATGGTAATCCCAAGGGCTTTCAGGTACAATGACCTAGTACGTGTCACAATATCTGAAGGAGTAACTGTAACAGTGCCAAAGTCTCCGTGGACTATGAGAAAGGAGTATCTCTGTATATTGGGTGTGTATGGACATAAGGATTGGGGCCAGTAGAGTTCTTCTCTAGGGGAGACACTAGAAGACATTTGTATTAGTTGCCCTGAGACAAGTTCTAGGACATTTGACCACTACAGTGGGTTATTATCTAATATAAATTCAAATATTTGAAAGTATAAGATGTCAAGAACATGATTCATGCCATCAACTCCAAACATCCTTGCAGTAGAAAACAAATATTCACACCCTCTGTGCCTGAGACTGAGCAGTGGAAGACAGGAAGTTTTCCCAATACTACCTATTTACAAGCTATAACAGAAGAACACAGATTCTCTTCCTTCCTCTAAAACTAGATCTGTGTCCCCCTCTGACACACTCTCTTAGTACACAGGCACCTCCTTTCTCCTCCTCCCCTTTCCCTTCCTCAAACAGACCCCTAGACTGGCAGTATGTCAATGAGATGTGTTTTGTAGACCCAAACAATTGTTTTAAAAGTTGAATTGGTTGTCAACATTTTAGAAAGCACATAAACCCCCACAAAACTCTAGATTTCCAGCCCATTTTATTTTTTAGAATACCTGCCTGACCCCTCTGAAATATTAGAGTTTGAAATCTCTACCCCTGTGGCCGTGTTTGCCTCACCCAAAAGACAAAGTCTGCCTTGTTGTTTTGTTTTGTTTTGTTTTCCTACTTACTGTTAGCATCATAGACCATTGGGATGGGATAAGACTCCAGAATATTTGTCATCACTCTTTACTTCTTTTAACAGATGAGGAAATTGATGGGTAGGAGATCAGAGAACATGGTCAAGGTTATACACTGATTGGGAGTAAAAGCAGGGGAGAGTTTAGAACCTTGTTTTCTGAGTCCATAGCATGTTCCTTAATGTACCCATCATGTTTCAGAGGTGGGAAGTAAGGAAACATTTTTCATATCTCTCTTCATCTGTTACATCCATTTGACATCTGCTGTGCCCCAACCCAAAGCTACCTTTGCTGCCAAATTTAGGCACCAATAATCTACCAGCATATGGCCCACTATTGGGTAATTAAGCAATTATTTTTAGATGTAACCCAGATATTCCTACCTTCTCTAGCTACCAGGGATCATGCTTCCCTTGGTATGAGAACCCTGAATCCCCATCCTGCTTACTTATAGAAAAATCCCATCTTTTACCAGGTTTCCAAAACCTTCCTAAATATTTCTGATTATGCCCGAAGAATGCTTAAAGATGCCACAAATCCATCCCAATTGTCCCTTGTCCCCCTTGCCTGTGTCTGGACTCCTGCCCATCTCTGCCACAGGTCCGTCTTTTCATATTATCACTAGCTTCTCCACATAGATAATTCTCCCCTCAAATCACTTTCTTCCAAGTCTGTGTCTCTGTCCACTATTACATTCCTCAGATATAACACAAAATTATTCCTCAGGTATAATTTCACAAAACTATGCTTTTTATGAAAACAAGATCCAGTAACACTGCAGAAAAGAAAATGTAAACTAGTAACTAGTTGCATCTTCTCTAGATTCCCTAGGTTAACCATTCAGAGGAGATTACCCATTGACCAGTGCTCTTCTTTGCACCCCCACCCCCCACCCCGCCCACCTGCAGTACAGTTGCAGGGGCCAATGATTTCTCTGCCTGGGAACTAGACCTTCTAGCTCCTCCGAGCCCAGTGAAAAAGAAAATCTAAGTTTAAGGCCAGCTTTCCACCAAATATGGTCGTCTGCAATAAGAAGTCTACCCACAAGGAAAACAAACTGCAGAGTTACTTGCTTAAGTTTGTTTCTTTGCTCTCTTGTACCTCTCCACTCCAGAATGGTATTTTAGCCTGGCTTCGCAGAATCAAAAAGCCCACTGAAATTTTTTCACAACATCAAACAAGCAAGCCCTCTGCTTCCCAAAGATGAATTCTAACTTGCACCTTTAACAGAACAGAAAAATTGCTGGCATTTTAAAATATTTTCCTTTATACTTCTAGCCAATTAGTTTTGTTGTTGTTGTTGCTTTTCAATTTAGGGTTTGAACCTTAACTAGAAGAACCAAGAAAAAAAACGTCTTATACAATTTCCTGGGAAGCGAAAGTTTACATTTTTAATATTTCAAGGTCAACATGGTTTGTGGGGAGTGAGTGATCCCTGAAAGAAATAATCAATAAGGTGGACTTAGTTAAAATAAAAATTTCTGCTCCACAAAACACAATATCAAGAGAATTAGAAGACAAGGCACCCACTGGGAGAAAATATTTGCAAAAGCACATCTGATAGAGGACTGTTATCCAAAATATACAAAGAACTCTTAAAATTCAACAGTAAGAAAACAAACAACCCAATTAAAAATGGGCCAGGGAGGAGCCAAGATGGCAGAACAGCATGGAAGTTTTTTGTGTGTCTCGCGTGCATGAAATACAGCCAGATCAACATTAAACCATCCTGCACACCTAGAAAACTGATTTGAGGATTAACACAATAATCTGCACAACCTGAACCACAGAACTCACCAGGTACACGGTGCGGAGAGGTGAACTGGGGGAGAGAGAAGCCATGGAAGACAGGGGCAGTTTTTGCACGTGGAGAAAGGACTGAGCCGGTGGGGAGAATGTGGGAAAAGCACCTCCCCCCCCTCCCCCGCCAAAAGCAGTTGGAGAGAAAGTGGAAAAGTTGAAACAGCCGCAGGGACTGAACTAAAAAAGGAGAAAGGAAAGGGTTTAAGTTCCATTAAGACTCTATAAGCGGGGAGCGCAAAGCCTGAAACTCCACAGCTCAATACCTGGTGGTGCTCTGGTGGGAAGGGTGAATCCCCAGGAGCCGAGTGAAGTCTGGTGGTCTTCAGGCCACGCAGGGACAGGTGATTCTCCTGCTGGGAGCACATCTGGTAGAGGCTGTGTGGCCCCCCACAGGAAAAGGCCCCAGTGAACCCGGGAGAACAACCACATTTGCTGGCGCTGGAACAAAGTCGTTGGGGGTGAAGCCTGATGCCAGATGCATGTTGTGATTTGCCATAATCCCTGAAACACTGCTGCTATACTGTCTCACAAACTTTTTCTGGGGTGGGCTGGTACCCGGCCATAGTCTCCGGGCACCGGCAGCAGCCCGGTCCCGCAAATATTCCTGGGTGCAGCTGGCAGACGGCCATTTCTCGGTGAGACCCTCCCGCAGGAGGGCAGAACGGGTCAAAACCGCAGTCCCTCACAAGTAAGGGGCCGAGGGAAAACAGCCGCACCGGAGACAAAAATAAGGAGGGAGGTGCTGCCTGGGGCTTGGTCAGGGACAGTGTAAAAGCGCGGAGTGGACGGAAGACAAAGGATGGGTGCGCTATTGCTGGGGCGGGGAGAGCACAGTTCCAATACTAGAGAACGGGTAGCTGGGCGGCGCCATGTTCATCAGTCCCGCGCATCCGCATACGCACCTAAAAGCGCCACAAGAATCCACCCCAGTAAGCTAAGCAGCGCCATCTACTGGAGAATAAAGTTGTTACACTAAGCCCCGCCCAACTAGGCCAACCTCTCTCTTCAGGAACAAAAGTCTCTCCGCCTGCTTAGTTTATGGACTATAAAGCATTTCATAGTTTGACTTCTAGGGGAAAACGAAGTAATTTCAGTAGTATTTCAGTCTGTTCGCCGGTCCATCTACACAACTTTGTTTCTTTTCTTTTCTTTTTATTTCTCTTTTGTATTTCTTTTCTTTTTCCTGAATACAGAAAGAGAAAAATTCATTTTTATTTCCAGTTTTTATTAAAAATATTTTTCTTTAATTTTTTTCCACTATATTTTTTACTTTTGTGTAAATTTTTTCAAATTCTATTTTACTCCCATCATCTCATTTTAGTCTACTTCTGTGTATTCAATTTTCAAATTCTCAAACGATTTCCTTTTTTTCTCCCCCCTTTTTTTTCCTCTAATCTCTCAAACCACTTTCAACACCCAGACCAAAACACACCTAGGATCTACCATCATTTATTTGATTTTTGTGTGTGTGTGTTTGTTTTTAATTTTTTAATTTTAATATTTTTAAAATTTTAATTGTTTTTAATTTTAGGGTTTTTTTTACCTCATTAATTCCTTTTCTCCCTTCAAAATGACGAAATGAAGTAATTCACCCCAAAAGAAAGAGCAGGAAGAAACGACAGCCAGGGACTTAACTAACACAGACACAAGCAACATGTCTGAACCAGAATTTAGAATCATGATAATAAGAATACTAGCAGGAGTCGAAAATAGATTAGAATCCTTTTCTGTGTAGATAAAAGAAGTAAATGCTAGTCAGAATGAAATAAAAAATGCTATAACTGAGCTGCAATCTCAGTTGCCACGGCGGCAAGGATGGATGAGGCAGAGAATCCGTGACATAGAGGACAAACTTATGGAGAATAATGAAGCAGAAAAAAAGAGGGAGACTAAGGCAAAAAAGCACGATTTAAGAATTAGAGAAATCAGTGACTCATTAAAAAGGAGCAACATCAGAATCATAGAGGTCTCAGAAGATGAAGAGAGATAAAAGGGGTAGAAGGGTTATGAAAGCAAATCATAGCAGAAAACTTTCCTAACCTGGGGAAAGACACAGACATCAAAATCCAGGAAGCACAGAGGACCCCCATTAGATTCAACAAAAACCGATCATCAACAAGGCATATCACAGTCAACTTCACAAAATACTCAGGCAAGAAAGAATCATGAAAGCAGCAAGGGAAAAAAAGTCCTTAACCTGCAAGGGAAGACAGATCAGGCTTTCAGCAGACCTATCCACAGAAACTTGGCAGGCCAGAAAGGAGTGGCAAGATATATTCAATGTGCTGAATCAGAAATATATGCAGCCAAGAATTCTTTATCCAGCAAGGCTGTCATTCAAAATAGGAGAGATTAAAAGTTTCCCAGACAAACAAAAATTAAAGGAGTTTCTGACCACTAAACCAATCCTGCAAGAAATTTTAAGGGGGACTCTCTGAGGGGAGAAAAGATGAAAATAAATAAGTAAATAAATGAATAAATGAATGAATAAATAAATAAATAAATAAATACCAAAAGCAACAAAGACTAGAAACGACCAGAGAACACCACCAGAAACTCCAACTCTACAAGCAACATAATGGCAATAAATTCATATCTTTCAGTATTCACTCTAAAGTCAGTGGACTAAATGCTCCAATCAAAAGACACAGGGTAACAGAATGGATAAGAAAACAAGATCCATCTATATGCTGTTTACAAGAGATCCACCTTAGACCTAAAGACACCTTCAGATTGAAAGTAAGGGGAAGGAGAACCATCTATCATGCTAATGGTTGACAAAAGAAAGCCAGAGTAGCCATGCTTATATCACAAAATCTAGACCTTAAAATAAAGACTGTTACAAGAGATGAAGAAGGGCATTATATCATAATTAAGGGGTCTATCCACCAAGAAGACCTAACAATTGTAAACATTTATGTGCCAAATGTGGCAGCACGCAAATATATAAGTCAATTAATCACAAACATAAAGAAACTCATTGATAATAATACCGTAATAGTAGGGGACTTCAACACTCCACTTATAGCAATGCACAGATCATCTAGTCAGAAAATCAACAAGGAAACAATGGCTTTGAATGACACACTGGACCAGATAGATTTAACAGATATATTCAGAACATTTCATCCTAAAGCAGCAGAATATACATTCTTCTCCAGTGCAATGGAATATTCTCCAGAATAGACAACATACTGGGACACAAATCAGGCCTCAACAAGTACAAAAAGATGGAGATGATACCGTGCATATTTTTAGACCACAATGCTGTGAAGCTCAAAATCAACCACAAGAAAAAATTTGGAAAAGTAACAAATACTTGGAGACAAGAACATCATCCTACTAGAGAATGAATGGGCTAACCAAGAAGTTAAAGAGGAAATTAAAAAGTACATGGAAACCAATGAAAATGATAACACCACAACCCAAAACCTCTGGGACACAGCAAAGGCAGTCATAAGAGGAAAGTATATAGCAATCCAGGCCTTCCTAAAGAAGGAAGAAAGGTCTCAGGTACACAACCTAAACTTACACCTTAAAGAGCTGGAAAAAGAACAGCAAATAAAACCCAAAACCAGCAGAAGACAAGAAATAATAAAGATTACAGCAGAAATTAATGCTATCAAAATGAAAAAAAGAAAAAAAAAACAGTAGAACAGATCAATGAAACCAGAAGCTGGTTCTTTGAAAGAATTAACAAAATTGATAAACCACTAGCCAGTCTGATCAAAAAGAAAAAGGAAAGGACCCAAATAAGTAAAATCAAGAATGAAAGAGGAGAGATCACAACCAACACAGCAGAAATAAAAACAATAATAAGAGAATATTATGATAAATTATACACCAATAAAATGGGCAATCTGGAAGAAATGGACAAACTCCTAGAAACATATACATTACCAAAACTGAAACAGGAAGAAATAGAAAATTTGAATAGACCCATAACCAGTAAGGAAATCGAATTAGTAATAAAAAAATCTCCCAAGAAACAAGAGTCCAAGGCCAGATGGCTTTCCGGGGGAATTCTACCAAACATTTAAGGAAGAGTTAACATCTATTCTCTTGAAGCTATTCCAAAAAATAGAAATGGAAGGAAAACTTCCAAACTCTTTGTATAAAGGCAGCATTACCTTGATTTCAAAACCAGACAAAGACCACACTAAAAAGGAGAAATTTCCCTGATGAACATGGATGCAAAAATCCTCAATAAGATATTAGCCAACCGGCACCAACAATACATTAAAAAAATTATTCACCATGACCAAGTGGGATTTATACCTGGGATGCAGGGCTGGTTCAATATCTGCAAAACAATCAATGTGATTCATCACATCAATAAAAGAAAGGACAAGAACCACATGATCCTCTCAATAGATGCAGAGAAAGCATTTGACAAAATACAACATCCTTTCTTTAAAAACCTTCAAGAAAGTAGTGATAGAAGGATCATACCCCAAGATCATAAAAGCCATATATGAAAGACCCAATGCTAATATCATCCTCAATGGGGAAAAACTGAGAGGTTTCCCCCTAAGGTCAGGAACAAGACAGGGATGTCCACTGTCACCACTGTTATTCAACATAGTATTGGAAGTCTTAACCTCTGCAATCAGACAACACAAAGAAATAAAAGGCATCCAAATTGGCCAGGAGAAGGTCAAACTTTCACACTTTGCAGATGACAGGATACTGTATATGGAAAACCCAAAATATTCCACCAAAAAACTGTTTGAACTGATTCATGAATTCAGCAAAGTTGCAGGATATAAAATCAATGCACAAAAAAATTGGTTGCCTTCCTATACACCAACAATGAAACAACAGAAAGAGAAATCAAGGAATCCATCCTATTTACAATTGCACCAAAAACCATAAAGTACCCAAGAATAAATCTAACCAAAGAGGTGAAAAATCTATACACTGAAAACTATAGAAAGCTTATGAAAGAAATTGAAGAAGACACACAAAAAAATGGAAAAATATTCCAGGCTCCTGGATAAAAAGGACAAATATTGTTAAAATGTCAATACTATCCAAAGCAATCTATATATTCAATACAATCCCTATCAAATTAATACCAGCATTCTTCACAAAGCTAGAACAAGCAATCCTAAAATTTGTATGGAACCAGAAAAGACCCCAAATAGCCAAAGCAATCTTGAAAAAGAAAACCAAAGCAAGAGGCATCACAACCCCAGAGTTCAAGCTGTATTACAAAGCTATAATTATCAAGACAGTATGGTACTGGCACAAAAACAGACATTCAGATCAATGGAACAGAATAGAGAACCCAGAAATTGACCCACAAACATATGGGCAACTAATCTTTGACAAAGTAGGAAAGAATATCCAATGGAATAAAGACAGTCTCTCCAGCAAGTGGTGCTGGGAAAACTGGACAGCGACATGCAGAAAAATGAACCTGGACCACTTTCTTACACCAGACACAAAAATAAACTCAAAATGGATGAAAGACCTAAATGTAAGATAGGAAGCATCAAAATCCTCGAGGAGAAAGCAGGCAAAAACCTCTTTGATCTTGGCCGCAGCAACTTCTTACTCGACACGTCTCCAGAGGCAAGGGAAACAAAAGCAAAAATGAACTATTGGGACCTGATCAAAATAAAAAGCTTCTGCACAGCAAAGGAAACAATCAGCAAAACTAAAAGGCAACCGACAGAATAGGAGAAGATATTTGCAAACAACTATCAGACAAAGGGTTACTATCCAAAATCTATAAAGAACTTATCAAACTCAAAACCCAAGAAACAAATAATCCAGTGAAGAAATGGGCGAAAGACATGAATAGACACTTCTCCAAAGAAGGCATCCAGATGGCCAACCGACACATGAAAAAATGCTCAACATCACTCATCATCAGGGAAATACAAATCAAAACCACAGTGAGATACCACCTCACACCTGTCAGAATGGCTAACATTAACAACTCAGGCAACAATAGATGTTGGCGAGGATGCAGAGAAAGGATCTCTTTTGGACTGCTGGTGGGAATGCAAACTGGTGCAGCCACTCTGGAAAACAGTATGGAGGTTCCTCAAAAAATTAAAAATAGAACTACCCTACAACCCAGCAATTGTACTACTAGGTATTTATCCA